ACTGTGGCCTGGAAAATTCGAAGGGCGGCTGGGACGAACTAGTTGTCGGTAAAAGGTATTATACGTGTACTCTAAAGTGCTGCTAAGGGAGGCCACATGAATATCCTCGCATTGAAAGGGATCGCCCAGACATTCAAACAGACTAGAACTAGGATATACCACAAGTACATTCATACGTACAGAGCAGTGTTTCCCTCTGAATCCTGTAGGTTGACCGAGGCTTTGTGCTTCAAAAGGATCTGGATCATTTTTAGATTTCCTTTGGCTGCTGCTCTATGGAGTGGAGTCGATTCCAAGTGATCCTTGGCGTCTGGATTCGCTTTATGCTCTAACAGCATCTGTGCGATCTAATCATGACAAAGGTGAGGAAAAGTGTGTGCCACTGGGCATTTCGTGCCAGGGGGTGGGGGAGGAGGGGCGCAGCGCACGGACTCGCTTACCTCCTGCTTGTTCTTCGAGGCCGCGTAATGCAGAGGCGTGCAGCCGTTCTGATTGACAGCGTTCACCTGGGCGCCTTTCTTGATCAGCGCTTTCACAATCTCATCTCGACCAGCCGATGCTGCAATATGCAGAGGACTCCAGCCAGCCTGAAGGTGCCAAGAAAATAAGGCGCAAACTCTTACAAGTTGGTAGGAGGGAAAGGGGGTAGTTTTTTGTTACAAAGAAATGACCCAGTTCCCTGCACTAGCAAAAGAATTCGTCTCTATCCCTAAGCAGAAGGAAAATTAATGACTTGTTTTATAAGACTGCTAAGCGAAAGAAGAAACCGACAGTAATAGCAGTACTGTTTCCCATGTACGCAGGACACGCGATTCAACACATTTCAGATACAGAAACTCAGCTATCCTTACAAAAGCCCTGGAGGGTGCGGGATGAAAAGTGAGGCTTGACAGTGACTTGCCTTGGTAAGTTCTTGGCATAAGTGAGATATTAAGTGGACTTCTTGTATGACGTTTTCAGGCTCTACACCAGCTCCAGTGACCCAAAGTGGTGCCATTAATTATCCTTCTTCCCAGGGTGGCACTTTAAGGGCCACCCTCCACCCACTGTAGCCTCACAACAACCCTGCGCGGTGAGTCAGGCTGAGAGGAAGGTTTCCCCAGTTTTAGCCCAACACTCTAACCGCTACCATCCTTATGAAAACAATCCTGTAATAACTTATTTCATAGATCACCTGCTTTAGTCACTGACTGCAGACATAGGCCAATGCCTACAACTGTTGTTCACAAGATCAAACTGTTGCCTTCACATAATCCTATGTTTCCAGTGAGTATCCACACTCCCCTGGCCTCCTGGTTGTGGCACCCCCATCCTTCTGAATATCACCCCAAAGTCTAACCTTGCTCCAGTTTCTGTTGCTTGTGTACTGGGCCTTTGGCAGCTACTGCTGCTACCTCGAGGGCATCCAATGAAACCGATGGGTAGAACATAAGAACATAAGAGACGCCAATGTTGGATCAGGCCAAAGGCCCATCCAGCCCAACACTCTGTGTCACACAGTGGCCAGAAATACCAGGTGCCATCAGGAGGTCCACCAATGGGGCCAGGACATTAGAAGCCCTCCCACTGTTGACCCCCCCCAACCCCAAGAAGACAGAGCATCACTTGCCCCAGAGCCCCTATCTATACCTTGTGGCTAATAGCCACCGATGGACCTCTGCTCCATATATTCCCTCTTGAAGCTGTCTGCGCTTGTAGCCGCCACCACCTCCTGTGGCAGTGAATTCCATGTGTTAATCACTCTTTGGGTGAAGAAGGACTTCCTTTTATCAGTTCTAACCCGACCGCTCAGCAGTTTCATGGAGTGCCCACGAGTTCTTGTATTGTGAGAAAGGGAGAAAAGTACCTCTTTCTCTACCTGCTCTTTCCCATGCATAATCTTATAAACCTCGATCATGTCACCCCTCAGTCGTCGTTTCTCCAAGCTAAAATGCCCTAAGCGCTTTAACCTTTCCTCATAGAAAATACTACTTTAAAGTAGGAAATACTACTTTACAGAGAGTGATTAAAACGTGGAATTCGCTGCCAGGGGAGGTCGTGATGGCCACAAGAACAAACAGCTTTAAAAGGGGATTAGGTAGATTCACGGAGAACAAGTCTATCAGTGGATACCAGCCATGGCTACTGAGGGGAACCTCCACATTCGGAGGCACTAAGCTTCTGAATCCCAGAGCCAGGAGGCAACATCGGGGGAAGGCTTCTGCCTCTATGCCCTGTTGTTGGCTGTCCAGAGGAACTGGTTGGCCACTGTGTGAGACAGGATACTGGACTAGATAGACCCTCACTGGTCGGATCCAGCAGGGCTCTTCTTGTGTTCTTACGAAGGCCTCGGCCTCTTGGCCAAGTTGTTGGCCCTTCAGGGAAACTGGCTGGCCACTGTGTGAAGCAAAATGCTGGCCTAGATGGACCCTCACTGGTCTGATCCAGCAGGACTCTTCTTATGTTCTTATTCAATTATATGTGACTTTAAGGACTGGAGAAGTGTAACTACTTTTGCTAACCAGGCCTGCTTTCATCAGCAGCCTGAGGACTCGCAAGATCCAGGGGGCTGATTCATTTGCCAAGCCCAAGGTGCCCTTTTGAGGAGGCAGAGTCGTCATGCAACATACACAACGCTGCAGTTTTCAGATGGGTGACTGTCTGTGGAAGTCACCCCTGTATGGAAGCTGGAGAATGCATCACCTACTGCATTTGAACGATGCCCTTCTGCTCCGTGAGGACCCCTCGGGTGACTATATCTCCTGCCTGCCTGCCTGTACTCAGACCTGTCTGCAGTAAGGCTGTTGTTATGTGTATCTTATCAGCGGGAAAGAAGCCTGAAAAACTTCCTTCACACAGGGACAGGGCTATACCAGGAGATGCCCAGAGCCCCACCTCATGCTGAGAGGTACAGCCGAAGATAATGTGTCAAAAATACTCTTTTATGTCACTGATGTCTCTTAGAAGATGCAAGAAGTTAGCAGGGTAAGTCATCACAGGAACTAGGTTCACAGAATCATAAAATCACAGAGTTGGAAGGGGCCCTACAGGCCATCTCGCCCAACCCTCGCTCAAGGCAGGATCAGCATAGAGCATCCCTGACAGATGTTCGTCCAGTCACTGCTTAAAAACTGCCAGAGAGGGGGAGCTCGCAACCTCCCTAGGCGGCCAATTCCACTGCTGCACAACTCTTACTGTAAAAAGGGTTTTCTTAATATCCAGCCGGTACCTTCCCGTCCTTAATTTAAACCCATTACTGTGAGTCCTCTCCTCTGCTGCCAACAGGAACAGCTTCTTGCCCTCCTCTAAGTGACAGCCCTTCAAATACTTAATGAGAGCCATCCTGTCCCCTCTCAACCTCCTCTTCCCCAGGCTAAACATTCCCAGGTCCCTCAGCCTTTCCTCATAGGGCTCGGTCTCCAGGCCACCGATCATCCTCGCTGCTCTCCTCTGCACCCGCTCCATTCTGTCCACATCCTTTTTGAAGTGAGGCCTCCAGAACTTCACACAATTCTGTTTAGATAACTGCTAAAAAACAATCAATCTTACATCATCTTTGTCATTAACGGGAACTCCCAGATCTAGCAAGAGGTTGACGATGTCCGCGTGTCCAGCTGAACATGCCCAGTGCAGGGCTGTCCTGTTATCCTAAAAGCAAAAGAAGAAAAAAAGAAGCATCAGCACACCAGAAACTGACTGTGTTAGAACAGGGAGATACAGCACAGGGGGCACACAGGCCAAGACAACACAATCCAGTACGTAGAAGATAGACGGCCAACTTGCATATTCTTAGAAGCTTTGTAAATTGCCCCAAAAGCACTGCAGGTTGCTCAAACCAACCGCCTTGCATGTGGTCAAGCTTCACTGTAACAGTAACTGTAAATATATCACAGGTATGGAGAGCTGGTATTCTCAGGTACTCCAGTAAACAGAAATACATGCACTGTGTGCAAGCCCCAGAAGAAAGATGTGGATTTGAAGTGGATTGTCTCTATTGCATAGAATAAAATCAAATTTCTCCTATACTTAAGAGTGCAACGGCTGATTATACTTTCAGGGAAATATGCTCCCACAGACTGGGGCTGAATGCAATGGATTCTAAAGTCATCCCAGGTCTAGCTCACTGGGTGTGAACGGGGGCAGAAAACCCAGGCTTAAATGACCACTCAGCTGGGAAGCTTATGGGGTGGAATCATACCACAAGCGACACTACTGCAGTGGTTCCAATCGCACCCTTATTATGCTTATTTTTTATTCATATCCTGCCTTTCTGTCTGATAGGACTCAAAGAGGCTTTTCATATTGTTTCCCCTTCCTCCGCTCAATACCCACCACAACAACCTTGTGAGGGGGGATTCAGGCGGGGAGCTGTGTGGGCCTGAAGCAGCAGAACAAAGTCTAGTGGCACTCCGAAGACCCAACAAAGTTTAATTCTGGGCAGGGGTCATTTCCACACACACACCCCGCAGGAAGGAGACGGCCCCCCCACCTGCCACCACTCCTGGCCCACCTGCGCATTCTACACATGCCTGGGTTCCCTGCCCAATCTCCTCTAGGTGTGTGGCATATGCAAATGAGCTATGGAAATGAGCTCCTGCACCTCTTTTTCTACGAAATGACCCCCGATTCTGGGTAGAAGCTTTTGGGTGCGTGCATCTGAAGAAGTGTGCATGCACACGAAAGGGCACACCATGAATAAAGCTTTGTTGGTCTTAAAGGTGCCACTGGACTCTAACGTCGTTCCGTGCATGCACGCGAAAGCTTATTCCCAGAACTAAACCTCGTTGGTCTTAAAGGTGCCACCGGACTCAGACTTTGTTCTTGTGCGAGTGGGTCAGGCTGAGAGATCGGCGAAGACTGAGCGAGACCGAGACTGGAACCGGGTTCCCGTCCGAAGTTCTCACCACTACGCCACACCGGCACTCCCCGAGCATGTGCAGAGTGCATTCTTCCCAATATGGACTTAATGCAAGGGGGCCGTGTGAAAGGGTGAGTCGGGGGCCCGGAGACGCGCCTGGGGAGGGGGGATTAGACATGAGCATCATCCCCCCAACTCTAGTCAGGTGGGGGTCCCTCCAAATCCTTAGCCACGCCCCCCTCCCTCCCGGCCGGCCCACCTGATCGGCGCGCGTCGCCAAGCTCCGGTTGGCCGCCAGGCGCTCCTTCACCTCGTCCAGCTGCCCCGCGTAGGCCAAGTTGCAGAGCTCCACGTTGGACACGGAACCGCCGCCCTCCATCGCCAAGCCCGACGCGGCTCAACGGCAGCCCTCGGCAGAGACCGCCTCCTGGGCGCCGCTCAGGCAGCCAATGGGAACGGAGGCTCAGGAGCGGGCGGCCAATAGGCAGCCAGACCCCGCCCCCCCGCTCGAGCGTCATCCCCCTTCCCAGCCCCGCCCTCAGCAGGC